TTTAACCATTCTTTTTTGTGCTTTCGCCTAGCACCTCTTCACTCTATCACCTTTCTCTTTGTTCTTTATCGTTCTCCTTCTTCCCATGATTGAACTCTTTTAGATGTTATCTCTGATCAAATTGGCCATGCCTTCTCTCTTTACCCCTCTGCCAATATTGTTGTTGTTGGTGATTTTAATGCCCATCACACTGAATGGCTTGGCTCTAACACCACTGATCCTGCTGGCACTAAACCCTTTAACTTCTGCGTTTTTCAATCTCTTACTCAGATAGTTAACTTTGTGACTCGTTTTCCTGACAACCCTAATCATTTACCTTCACTCCTTGACTTATGTCTTGTCTCTGACCCTAGCTTATGTTCAGTTTCTCCCTTTTCTCCCATAGGTGGTTCTGACCATGCAATGATCTCTATATATCTTTCTTCTCGTACTTCTTTTTTGGGCTCACCTTATCATCACTACTACCCTAAAGCTGACTGGGATTCCTTTCTTGATTTTCTTTGTGATGGTCCTTGGGCTGATGTTTTTTTTCTCTCAGCTGACAAATGCACCTCCTACGTAACCTCCTGGATTCAGACTGGAATGGAAGCTTTTATTCCTTCGCGTCGGTTTCAAGTCAAGCCTCATTCTACTCCATGGTTTTCTCCTTCTTGTGCGGCTGCTATATCCAATCGTAATCATTTTTTTCATCTTTTTCAAAAGAACAACTCTCTTGAGAACAAACAGCTATTTATTATTGCAAGAAATCAATGTAAAAAGGTGCTTTCTGATGCTAAACTCTATTATTCTCAGTTCACTAAATCTCGCATCTTATCGCAGAAGTTAGGCTCTAAAGACTTTTGGAAAATCTTCAACAGCATTATTAACAAGGGTAGATCTAACATTCCATCTCTCATTCATGGGACTGATCTTATTACCTCTCCCAAGGATAAGGCAGAACTATTTGCAAAGAACTTTTCTTCTAATTCCACTCTTGAATCTTATGGACATTCTCTTCCTTCCATTCCAGTCAAACAGGTTGACCCATTCTTAGACTCCAGCTTCTATTGCTAAAGTCATATCTCAATTAAACTCGCCTACAGCTTGTGGTCCAGACAACATTCCTGTCACAGTCTTGCAGAATTGTTCTCCAGAACTTTCTTTAATTCTCTCTAAACTATTTAACTAGTGTTTGACTGAGTCTTGTTTTCCTGCTTGTTGGAAAATGGCATCTGTGGTTCCAATATTCAAAAACTCTGGAGAAAATTCTGACCCCTCCAATTATCGTCCGATCAGTCTTCTTTCTGTCATTAGCAAGGTCTTTAAGTCTTTGATCAACAAATTCCTCACATCTCATCAAATAAATCATCAATCATCAGTCAAATAAACTACTGTCAGATAATCAATACGGTTTTCGATCCTCTCGCTCTACCGCCAACTTGCTAACTGCTGTAACTGAAAGATTTTATTGTGCATTAGATGGAGGCGGTGAGGCTAGGGCTATTGCTCTCAACATATCTAAAGCTTTCGACAAAGTTTGGCATGCTGGTCTTCTCCATAAGCTTGCTTCATATGGTGTTTCTGGGAAAGTTTTTGAGATTATCAAATCATTTCTTTCTAACCGGTTTATTAAAGTCACCCTTGAAGGCCAACACTCTTCTTTATTTCCAGTAACTTCTGGGGTTCCCCAAGGTTCCATCCTGGGCCCTGTTTTGTTTTTTATCTACATAAACAATCTTCCTGACAACCTTTCATCTAAAGTAGCTCTTTTTGCTGATGACTCAACTTTATAGTCCTGTCTTGACAAAAAGTCTTCTCTTTTCGATCGCCTAGAACAAGCAGCTGATCTTGAATCCGATCTCACTTCAGTAATAGATTGGGGTTCACAGTGGCTTGTGAATTTCAACTCTAACAAAACCCAGTTGTTTACTGCAAACAACTACCGTAATATAGTCAACATTCCTATATTAATGAATGGCAATCCTCTTACTGAGTCCTCCTCTTTACGTCTTCTTGGATTATCTCTTACTACTGACCTTTCATGGAAACCATATATACAATCGATTGCTAAATTAGCTTCTGCTAAAGTTGCTTCTCTTTATCGTGCTCGCCATTTCCTTACTTCTGATTCCATTCTCTACCTCTACAAATCTCTTATTCCACCCTGTATGGAATACTGTTGTCATATTTGGGCTGGTTCTTCTAACGATTTACTTTCTCTTCTTGACAAGGTCTAAAAACGCATTGTAAATGTTGTTGGACCTGGACTATCTGCTAAGCTTGAACCTCTTTCCCATCGTCGTAAAGTTGCATCTCTTTCTTTTTTTACAAATAATATCATGGTCACTGCTCAAAGGAGTTATCATCTCTAGTTCCATCAACTAAAATTCATTCTCGTTTTACTCGTCATTCAGCTAAGTCTCATTCCTTTACTGTATCTGTCCCTGCATGCTCTAAAAACTTTTATTCATCTAGCTTTTCTCCCCGCACTTTAATTCTTTGGAACTCTCTCCCATCTTCATGTTTTCCTGACTCATACAACCTTCAACTTTTCAAGTCTTCTGTCAACCGTTTCTTTGCTCTATAACTCTGTTTTTTTTTTCCTAGTAACTTAATAGTGGTTGCTTGCAGCCTTGTTGGGAGTGAATGCAAATAAAAAAATTTAAAAAAATTTATTAGAACACTATGTATCTTTTTTTCCTTAGCAAAAGAGATACTAAATAATTAACATGGTTGCTACAGCATTTTCTCCTTAAAAATAAGCTCAATTTTACTGCAGTCTTCAAGCTTTGTAAGCTTGATGTCACTTCTATGTTTTCCGAATTGAAATTCAATTAAAAGTCATTGTTCTTAACCACTAAACATGTTTTGTAACAGTTAACAGATTTAAAAGATTTGGAGTGTGATTGTTTGTTTACCCTTTCGATTTATATTATATTATATTGCAATATTATATATAAATGAGATATTATAAGTAATATTATATATAAATGAGGGGTCATTCAGCCTTTGAAGTTAAGCGGATCAAAAGTTATTGAAATTTTTGTAGTGAAAAAACAGGTGATTTTTTGACAAAAGGTATAGGGTTCAAGTATGGAAAATTTGCTGCAAAATGGCACCAAAAATGAGAGTATTGTTGACATTTGAATAACTTTCGAACCAATGATACATTTGACTTGAAATTTTCCATAGTGACCAACCAACTATAAGAAATTAAAACTCCAAAAAAAATTTTTTTAAAAATCTGTCGAAATTGACCAGAACTATCTATTTTACAGACCGAGGGTTTTTACTAATTTATATGTTTTTGGGGTCATACTGACTTTTGAATAACTTTTAAACCAATAATACATTTGACTTGAAATTTTCCATAGTGATCAACTAACTATAAGGAAATAAAATTCCTAATTTTTTTTTAAAAAAATCTGTCGGGATTGACCAGAACCATCTATTTTACAGACCAAGGGTTTTTACTAATTTATATATTTTTTGGGGTCATACTGACTTTAAAATAACTTTTAAATCGTTATTACTTTTGACTTTAAATTTTTCATAGTGATCAAACTACTATAAGAAAATAAAAAATCATAATTTTTCTTTAAAAAATTAGTCGCCATTGTCCAGAATCATCTATTTTACAGCATGAAGGGTTTTATATTATTTTCTTATTTTTGGAGAATAAAATTTGGGGTCATATTATAATTATGCAAATATGCATAAAAGAATCCAAAAAATACATTATTTGAAAACTAGTGCATAATTTACAGAAATAATCACATAAATTACTGTTCAGTCGGTAAATTGCTGAAAATGGGCTGTTCAAACAAATTAAACATATCATTTTAAACAGTTTGTATTTTTTTTTAACTTTTTGGTATTTTTACACCATTATTACATTTGACTTAAAATTTTAAATAGTGATCTAGTTTTTATTAAATCTGTCAGGATTATCCTGAATCGTTTTATTTACAGACTGAAAGGTTCCTACTTATTTAATTGCATTATGAAGAAAAAAAATTAGGGTTGCACTATAGAAATTATGGAATCCAAAAAATACATCATTTGAAAACTTTTGCATAATTTACAGACCTGCCAGTAAAATTATTGCATAAATTACAGACTGGTCAGTAAATTACATAAAAAGAGATGTACAGACCAATTGGGCATATCGACTTTAACTATATTTGATATTTTTGAAAGGTTATTACATTTGACTTGAAATTTTAAATAGTGATTTAGTTTTTATCGAATCTGTTGGAATCATACTGAATTGTTTATTTAACAGACTGAAGTGTTTTTACTTATTTAAATATGTAATGAAAAAAAAAAAAATTAGGATTACAATATACAAATATGCATAAAGGAATCATGGAATCTGAAAAATACATTAATTTAAAATTATTGCATAATTTACAGACTGGTCAGTAAATTACTACAAAAGGGTTGCACAAAGCTATTGGACAAACCTATGTTGCAAAAACCATTTCCAACTGTTATTACATTTGACTTGAAATTTTTGATAGGAATACAAAACTATAACAAAATTAAATGCCATAATTTTTTTTAGGCAAAATTCAAGTTATATTATAAAAATTCTATGCAAATATGCATAAAGGATCGTAGAATTCAATTAATTCATCTGTTTAAAACTATTGCATAATTTACAAACCAATTAGTAAATCACTGAGCAAGGGCATTAAAATCTAAATCATTCAGAATTACCTATTTAACAGACAGAAGATTCTTTAATAAAATTTAAATTTAAATTTGGATGAAAATAACTTACAGCAACAGAACTTCTTAAAATTTTTGAGTACTTACAACAGCAACAGCAGGTGTAACAGCAGAAACTCAACCTAAAATTGTAACAAAATTATTGTTAAAAACACAGATACACAATTTTTAAAAAATATTTGTTAATTCGTTTTAAAAATAAAAAATAAAAAAAAATTATAAATTGAAAATAAAAACTAAATAAATATAAAATAAGAAACTTACTCTTTGAAATTGTTTATGTGAACTATTGACAACATCTAAGATGAAAAAAAAAATGAAAAAAACATTAAAACAAAAAATGTTGTTATTCTAAAACATATTTCTTGGCTTTTAGTGAATGATTAGAGGTTGAGAGTTTAAGTAACAAAACAACCTGATAATCATTTTTAACAATAGACAGCAGCGAAAAGGTAAGCTAAGTTGTCTATCAACACAAAACATCACAACAATAACATCACAATCACAAAACACACAGAACCTGTAGCACTAAAGGCTGCAAATTTATGCTAGTGTCAATACTTAACTAACATTTTAATCTGGTGATTTTTCAATTTAGTTGAAGCATGAAAAATTGTGTTGCAATGTCTTGCCTAATTGACTCATGAAGGAAATTTGCACCATCAAGATTGAAAACAAATTCTTTAAGATGATCTTTATGATAAAACGTCGCTCCACCAAGTACAAATATAATGTTAAACCGATGATGCAGGAATGAGATCATATAATTTTTTAAAAACCTTTTACGCAAAAATGCCTTCCATTCATCAGCTTTCCCATTCCGCTGATCACCATGTTTCCATTCCCTAATTGCTTTTTTAGCATATATCCCTAAATTGTGGACATGTAAACCACAAAAAACATGATGCATTTCTGTGTTTATTTTATCTTTGCAAATTTACAAAAAATGTCCATTGCTCAAAACAAAATCAGGTTGTTTGAGAGACACAATACTGCCATTAATATTTAGGTATTCCAAAATATTCTTGTAGGTACAAAAGGCTGTTTCCGATGATATTATGGAAGCTGAAATTGAAAATAAACCCAATTCTAATTGTACAAAATCAATTGATATATTAAACTTTGCTTTCAATAAAAAAAAATATTATAATGCAAAGTATTTGTGCTACTTTGTTCCAAATTAAAAACCGTACTAGTATCAAATAATCACATATTTTCTTGGTTTATAGATGGAATCAACATTTCATGAACACTATTGTCAGTTTGAAAACCTAAAAGAACAGAGTTTATATATTAATGATTATTAGTAGAATTCACAGTTTTTTTCTATGAAAAAAGATAACTTGAAATTATATTAAATAAAATTGGCACACCCACCTTTTGGAGATAATGACCTTTTGGAGTCAGGTGAGTTGTCTAAAGTTAAACAGTAACATAGCATACAATTATGCTTATATACAGCATATCCAGGAATATAGAAGTAGACCTTAATAAATCAATATGATACTAATACTCATCAAATAAATTCTTACACATTTCCATTTTTGTGGACTTTTGTTGATTATTCATAGGTTTTTGTTTTAAAAAAAACAGTTTAAAGAATCTATAGTTTATAGACAAACAATCAAGCTTGCAATTTTGTGGAAGAATCCAAACAAAATACTTTTAAAAATCAAAATAAAATTTTTTAATAGCTTAAAATCTAAAAGTTTCACTTTCACTTTCAATATCATTTTTAAAATGACAATTTTTTTCTATTTTGAAAACAAACAAAAATGATGGAAGGAACAAAAGCAAGAGTTTTATGCTGTATAAAGCAGTTATGTAATATTTTCAAAAAATATTTTTTCTATTTAACTACTTTTTAAGTGTATAAATAAGCTTTAGATTAGAAAGTGAAAAGTAAACATCAAAAAGACATTAATAAATTGCGAATGCCAAAAAAAAAATTATAAACAAAAACAAACGCAAAAATCATAACAAAAAACGGCGAATTGAAAAAAAGCTAAATATACATAATAATAATGCTTTATTAAATATACTGATTTTTTTAGGTAGGGTTAGACAAACCCTTTTTGTGGTGTTTCTTTTTAGAAACATATATAAACAAAAGTTATATTTGGAAAGAAGAAAGGTTAGACTTGATTTTTATAGTATTTTTATGTATAATCACTAAACTTTTTTATGGTTAGTTTTGCTGAAAACTTTCAAGAAAATTTCATTGATGTTCTCATATTAATTGTCGAAGGAATATCATGTCATTTTTTTTTGTTATTCAGGCAATTTTTTACATGCATTTTGTTTGCACATGCCAAATTTCAGCAAAAAGTAATTGGGAGCAGATAGTTTAAGAAGTGTAGGACTTTTGGTACCTAAATTCGTTTTTTTTTGTTTTCGTTTTATTGGTAAGAGAAATATGGGGGAGGATAGGGGGGAAGTGGATTGTAAACAAAAAAATTATTACTACATTGTATTATTTTAATTTTTAATATTAGATTAAAATTCAAATAAAAATGGTAAAAGTTATGGAAAAGAAAACTTCAAAAAGTAAGTTAATATGTTTTTCATGATAATAACTTTTTTAAAAAACAAAACAATGATAAGTTTAAAACCCTTAATCTTTGTTTACATGGCATATAAACAAAGATTAAGGTATTTTAAACTATATATACCAATGATGGTAATATATACCAATGATGGTATATTAAAAAAGATTAGAATTTAATTTCAAACCGTTACTTTGGAATATTTTATTAACAGATACCAATGTTGTTAATACACCATATATATAAAAATATACAAACGACATTATTATACTTTAAAGTGAAACATTATTGGCTTAAGCCAATAACGTTTTTGATAAAATATTTTATAACAATAAGCTTATTTTTGTAAAAATATCAAGATACTTTTAAAATAATAAGTTTATTCTTATAAAAATATCTTTTTAGTGTTTTTCTAATATACAGTAATATAATTTTAAAATACAGTAATGTAATTTGTTTTTTATTATTTTTTCATACCTTTTTTTTGTTAGTAAAGTTGTTGTACGTAAAGCAGAACTGATTTAATAACTGTTATTTTTATTGACTGTTGACAATTTCAAGATGTTTTTTTTTTATTATACAATTTTTTTGTTATCTTTAGTCCAATCTGCACAGACAGCAGTTGGTAAGTTATTATAGCATAACTTTTATTAACCATTAAAGAAATATAAATAGATAAATGTATTTCCTACTTATTTAATTACTACTTGTTGTGTATGGATTTCCTATTTGCTGCAATTTTTTAATTTTAGTATCTACCTTTTGTGCTACACCTGGTAAGTTAAACAACTCATACTTTTTAATGTGCAAACTTTACAATATGTTTAACTTTAGTTCCTTTGTTATGAGCTGCAACTAGTAATTTAAAAAACTATCACATTTTATGTGTATTCTTGCGGCGAAAAAACCACGTGACTATTGCGTAATTAAAAATAAAAATATCTACCATTATGGTATGGGGGCAAACAAACGCATTGATTTCACTAAAACGCTTTGAAAATGTCTTATAATTATCAAGAAAAACTATCAAAAGAGGCTGCTGAACGTTACCAAAATAAGTTAGATTTAATAGGTAAGCTTTTTATACAACTAATAAAATTTATTATAGGAAATTTTATATTAAGTTACATATAAAACACGCTAATACTATTAGTGTGTTTACTTAATTAAGTAAACACACTAATACAGTATTTGTATGTTTACTTAAACATATTAATAGTGTGTTTAATTTGTAAACCAATATAAAATTTCGTCTAATAAAGTTTTAGTAGTTAGTATTGTATTTAATTACACAATACTATTAATTTATTTAATCACACTAATACTGTTAATTATTAATAGTTAATATTACTAATAGGAATAATACAAATATTATTATTATGATAGTAATAGTAATAGTGTTTAAGATATAACCAATACATTATAAGCAAGCTAATACTGTTCTTGTGTTTAATTACACAATACTATTTATTTGTTTAATCCCTTCTAATACAATTAGTAATAGTATTAAATACTATTACTAATATATTACTAATATACTATTAATTTGATAGTAATAGTATTAAATACTATAACTAATATATTACTAATATACTATTCACTTAATAGTATAATAGTAATATATTAGTAATGGTATTTAATACTATTACTAATAGTATTAGTAGTGATTAAATAAATAAATAGTATAGTGTAATTAAACACAAGAATAGAATTAGATTGCTTATAATGTATTGGTGATATCTCAAACACACTAATACTATTACTATCATAATAATAATATTTGTATTAATCCTATTATAATAGGATTAGTATTAATATTAGTAGTATTAATACTAAAAATAATAATATTTGTAGTTATAGTAAAATAATAATATTTATATTAATCCTATTTTAATAGGATTAGTATTAATATTAGTAGTATTAATACTAAAAATAATAATATTTGTAATAATAGTAAAATAATAATATTTATATTAATCCTATTATAATAGGATTAGTACTAATAATGGTAATATTAATAGTGTTAATATTAATATTAGTAATATTAATAGTATGTATATATATATATATATATATATATACATATATACATATATATATATATATATATATATATATATATATATATATATATATATATATATATATATATACATATATATATATATATATATATATATATATATATATATATATATATATATATATATATATATATATATATGTATATATATATATATATATATATATATATATATATATATATATATATATATATATATATATATATATATATGTATATATGTATATATATAGTTAAATGATTACTTGGTAGTTACATTTTAGGTCAATGTATCAATGTAAAAATTACATTTTAGGTATAAAAAAGTGTCCTTATAAATTTGCATCAGATGAGTGGAAAGATGATCCAACTGAATGGCCTGCTCTTGCCTATCATCATGTTTATCAATTTTTGATAAAAAATCCTAGTAAGTAATTTATTTATTATTGACCAAGACAGATAAAGAGCAATTTTAAAAGTTAAACAGTATTATTTAGTTTATTACACAGAGTATAAGTTGATAACAAGAATATTATTATGAACATGGTACTAGATAATGTGTAATTCAGGCAACTAATTATTGAAAGTTACTTTAAGAATAATTTTAGGGATATATTCCAGTGAAGCCATGGAAAATTTTAAATCATTAGATGCTTACAAATTTTTTATTGATGGATGGGTTCAAACTATAAAACATCAGAAACTTCCTGGTGGAGCTTACATTCTTTATAGCGAAGTCAGACCATCATTCAGGACCACTGAAACACCTCATCAACCGTGGGTTGCTATTGAAAAATTGGGGAAAGTATTGGCAGGACATTGTGATTGTATGGCTGGGTAAGTTTTAATTTTAGAATACTAAAACTTACAAATATCATTTAAATATTTTTAAGTAAATGTGTTCCTAATCAACATCTCGCATTGTTAAATTGTTTTATATCCATTCAAGTAATAAGTTTGATTGTAACATATAAACAGTCCTTATATTTTTCAAACACACTTATCATACAGTACAATTTTTTAAACATAGATAATTAGATCTGAAAAAGTCTAAATTTTTTTCCTTATTCAGGCTTGGTGAAACATGCTCCCATGTAGCTGCAGTTCTTTTTAAGATTGAAACAGCAAACAGAATTGGAATGACTCTTAATGTAACAACTGATCTTCCATGCAAATGGAATCAAAACTTTACAAAAAACATAAACCCATCTCCAGTTTCGAAAATAAATTTGTACAGCAGTAAGGCAAAAGAGAAATTAAATTTATCAAGAAAATGTTATGATGTTGAAGTGACACATAATGATGAAATGGATTTCATTGAGAGTTTGTCAACAATTAAAACTAGGCCTGTAGTGCTACATTTTTTTTCCCAATATGATGGACCATTTATTGAACATAAGGTTTCCATACCAAAGCAGTTGCCTTCAAGCTTAAGAGAATTTTACTCTCCAAAATACATCGATCTTACTGCTGAAGAGTTAAATAAGATATGTACTGAGAAAAAACAATCACTCACTCTTTCTGCAGATCAAATTTTTTATGTACAGGAGGCAACAAGAAACCAAGCACAGTGTGAAACATGGTATCAGCAAAGAGCTGGTAGATTAACTGGATCTTTACTAAGTGAAATCTACAAACATGTTATAAATGGTACCACTACATCATCACTTATAAAAAATATTTGCGATCCCTCATTAATCATTCTTCATGCTCCACCAATTAAATGGGGTAAAGAGAATGAAAAATTGGCTTTTCTTTTATACCAGTCTGTAAACTTGGATGGAGTCATTGGCAACCAGCAAATTAGCTTGACAGATATTTCTTTGCATGAGGTATTTGAGGTTAAAGATGTTGGGTTTTGCATTGACTCCAATATGCCATGGATAGGAGCATCTCCTGATGGGATAGTGACTTGTGATTGTTGTGGTTCTGGAGTGCTTGAGATAAAGTGTCCGTATTCTTTGAGAGAAAAGTCACTTTTAGCAGAAATTAAATCTGGTTCCTTTTATGTATTTGAAGATAATAAGCTATATTTCTTAAAAAAAGACCATAAATATTATTTTCAAGTTCAATTAGAAATCAGGGTAACTCAAAGTCAATATTGTGATATTATGATTTGGACTCCAACAGAGTTTTTGGTGATTCGGATTAAACCAGAAATAGATTTTATTGATGAAGTTCTTAAAAAAGTTACTATGTTTTGGGAACAGGAAATCTTGCCCGAGCTTTTAACACAAAGAATTGAGACAACTGAATTGAAAAAACCTAATGAAAAATGTTCTTCCCCTAAAAAACCAATGTTGTATTGTATTTGTCAAAAACCATATGGTTTGTCAGATAATATGGTAGCTTGTGATGATTGCGACAATTGGTTCCATCCATCATGTATAGGCCTCAAAAAACTACCCAAAAAAAAAACCTGGTATTGTAAAGAGTGTCGAATGAAGAAATAGAACAGGTGTATATATTTTTTATGTATTAATTGTTTTAATATATATTCAAAAACAATTGATTTTGTTTTAAGTTAACACATAACTGTGTTTATGTCTTATTCATTGGCTTACTTGTCAGCCATTTGTATATTTAATTTTTTGGTTTAGAGCCCATCGATGTTGTTACTTAACCTGTCAGTCATAATATGCGTATATGTGTTCTGTTTGAAGCTCTAGCACAGTGTTTGTTCACTCGTAAGTATATTTGGGTTCTATTTGGACCTCTGGTGAGGTGTTGGCTAACCGGTAAGTGAATATGTTCATGTTTGTGTTTTGTGTCGACCTCTGGCGCGGTGTTGGCTCACTCGTAAGTCATTATTTGTGTGTTTGTGTTTTGTGTCGACCTCTGGCGCGGTGTTGGCTCACCCGTAAGTCAGTATATGTGTGTTTGTGTTTTGTGTCGACCTCTGGCGCGGTGTTGGCTCACTCGTAAGTCATTATTTGTGTGTTTGTGTTCTGTTTCGACCTCTGGCGCGGTGTTGACTCACTCGTAAGTCATTATGTTTATAATTTTGTTTTGTGTTATGTGTGTTGTTATTGTGATGTTATTGTTGTGGTGTTTCGTGTTGATAGACAACTTGGCTTACCTTCTCGTTGGTGTCTATTGTTACAAATGATTATTATTACTTCTAATCATTCACTAAAAGCCAAGAAACATGTTTTAAAATAAAATATATTTTTAATGTTGTATCTTTTAACTTTAGGTTTGTTCTTCGGTAACAAAAATAATCTTACGAAGTAAGTTTGTTTAGTATTTATTTAGTCATATTTTTAATTACTTTTTTATTTTTCACATTAACATAAATTCTCTTTTTTTCCTGAAAGAAAAACATACTGACTTTGAATAAAAATATAAAAACAAAAAAAGCTAAAGAAGTTTTTTTTGTTTTTATATTTCTAGTATTTAAAAAAAGACAAATTTGTGTTCAAATATTCAGATGATTCAAATTCAAAACTTACCAGATACAAAATGTTTTGAGCATACATAGACATGTTTTGTATTTGGTAACCAAAGTTTGTTTTTGCAAGATGAATCAATTCTATATATAGCATTAAGCCACAATCTTCTTCTCTTTGGATCAGCAGGCAAAATATAAAAACTCAAGTCCGGATGACTTTTAATATTGGTTGAACAATCAAAAACACAGCATCCTTTCACCATTTTCAAGCGCTTTGTTTGCCCCCATACCATAATGGTAGCCGTTTAGTTAGTTAAAGTGACGTCACGTTCGCCGCAAGGATACATTTCTCGTTATTTAAAATATTGATTTTTTGTTACAACTTTGTAATTTTTGTATCTACCTCTTGTGCTACACCTGGTAAGTTAAACAACTCTTTTTAATGGGCACAAATTTCTCATTGAATGCAATATTGATTTTTATAATATATTTTTTACCTTTAGTTCTTTCTAGGGATGTACCGAAGCTAAAATTTTGCCGAAGCCGAAGCTTTGGCCGAAGCCACTTTGCTGAAGCCGAAGCTTCGGCACTATATACGCTAAAAATTTAATCAGCATTCAGATCAGTAGGGGTGTAAAACAAAAAAGGTACCAAAACTAAGGTACTTGACTAATAATATAGAAAAATTGTATAAAAATGAGGACGCCAGTCAGGGTTGCTGTCCCAGGCAGGGCAAAAGCTCTCAGCGCCCCTGTTAGAAAGTTTCTCATTATGTCGTTTCTGATACTTGACCGCACCGAGCGTTTTTTTTTTTAAGCTTAAACTTTTTTGAAACATTCTCCCAAAATTTTTCTACTTCTAGTTCTTCTTTTTCTGTGTGCAAACCATATTAATGTTATATAGCATCTTTTAATGTGCTGTATATTTTATTTTTATTTTTAATGCACCTTTTGTTAATAGAAGTGGATAAAAATCTCTGAACATTACTAGAGTAAATTTATCTTTTGCACTTGATCACTCTTTCTTTAAATAAACACTCTTAGCTGATCTAGTTGTATCTACAACATAAAAAGTTTTACAAACACACTTTATCTTTTTATTGCTATTTATTTCAGTATCTTTTTTCTACTTCTCTGTATTCATTAAACAAACAGTTTCTAAACTAAAAAAAAACCCAAGTTAAAACCATTTTGTATTCTACTACAACTGTTGTGAACCTAGTGCTAAAAAAAAGTACAAATGATAGATTTCTCTCGTAAAAATACGTAAGAATACTTTACGTTTTTTATGTGTCACTCCATTGACTAGTTTGTATCTATTTAAGTGACACCTAATAAATTTCTGTAAATTTACGATGAAAATTTGTAAATTTTTATTAATATGGTTAAATAAAATTTTAAAAATTAAACATACACACAATTTAAAATAGTAGCCAAGTATCTTTAATCTTCTTTAAAGAGAGATTACTAAGGTTTATAGGTTAAATGTTGAAACCAAATTTTGTTCTATTTGCGGTAATCCCACACAATAATTAATATGAATTCGTTACATAATACAAATTAAGGTTTTAAAAACTTTTAATTTACTTTAAATTATAAGATTTTTATTCTGCATAGAAATGCTGATTCAGTTCATCTAAAGTCACACTTGGAAGCTTTCAAAGTGTATGAGGACCTTCCCTAATTTTATTATTATTTTAAAAAATATTTTTACTTATTTATTATTATCCCCTCCATAACAAAACACTTAGACTGGGACACACTGGGAGTAAATAATATTAAGTATATGGTATAGATTCCAACTTTGACTTGGTAGTTCTGAATTTATAACTTAATTAGATACTGGCAATTAGCGTATTTTTATAACTTGTCCAACAGTAGCTTAGAACTTTTATTATTTAAAATTTTTTGCCGAAGCCAAAGATTCGGCAAAAAATTGACCTGGCTTCGGCCGAACCGAAGCTTCGGCAAAATTGCCGAAGCTTCTGCATGCCGAAGCCGAAGCCGAAGCTTCGGTACATCCCTAGTTCTTTCTACATATGCTACGCCTGGTAAGTTTCAAAACCTTTTTTCTTTTAACATGTGTATGCATTTTTTATCAATTGCATATTCTTTTTTGCAATTGCATTTCTTATCAACTGGTTTTTAATTAAAACCTTTTTTATTTAGCTACATCTTCAGCTGTCACGTCAAGTAAGTTTAAAAATTATTACTTTTTAGACTATGAATGCATTTATTACCATTTGCAATTTGTATTTTTTATTAAAACAAATTTTACTTTTAATTCCATCTGTACCACCTTCAAACGGTAAATTTATGAATCTGGAATGTCTCTGATTGATTATTGAGTTCCTCTTATTCCTATTTATATCATCTATTTAATACTTTTGTGTTTTGTTATCTCTCCAAGTGCTATAAAAGGAGAATCAGAAGCTTATACATGTTTGAATTTTTATTCTGATTAACTTTTATTAAAAATTTCATTGATTCATTAATCATTCTTTACGTTTATTCAGACAAACTGTCTTAGTAAATATTTATTTTAAATTTCATAATTTTTAATTGCATGAATTACAAATACATTAATATTTTATTTGTTTTTAAAGCTTACATATGAAGATTATAGGTCATTTCAAACTTAAAATTAAAATCATTTACTAAAAGCCAAGAGTAATTACTATGTTTCAAAACATTTTTATTTTTTATTTTTTTTATTAGGTTGGTGGGTTAAATATGATCATTTAAATGAGAAAATGTATTCTAGTGCAACTTGTAATCTGGTAAAACAATTATGTATTGTGCTTTCTCTTTTTTAATAATTGCTTGTGAAAATGCTGAAAGTGTCATTTCTGTGTTTTCTTTTTTATGTTGAGGGGGAGAAGGAAAACCATCCCTCTCCTCAAATTGTACATCACTAATGTATGTTCTATATGAAAAAAAATATTGCTTTATGTAATACAGCAATATTTTCAATACTAATGTATGTTGTATAGTTATAAAAAACTATTTTTTGTCAGGTGAGGGGAGGGGGGGAGGTGGTGCATCATACTTCCTTCATTTCAAGACAATGTGAACATCAATAATATATGTTGAATAGTAATAAAATATTATTTTTAATTTTTAACAATGCATTTAATGATTGTAATAAAAATAAAATTGTTTTTATTTTTTATGAGTCAGGGGGGGGGGGGGCGGTAGCGGTGCGACATACACCCTCCCCTAAAGTTAGTGTTGTACATCACTAAAGTGTGTTTTATAGTAAAAAAAAAAATAATTTTACTTTTTAACAAAATACTTAATAACTGTAAAAAAGAATAAATTATTTATTAGAAAGTATGATTATTGTATTTAGGGTGTTATAACATCACAACCACATCTATGGCCAACTCTAAGATCGCCTTATTTTGTTTGGCAGTGTTTTGGAATCAAGTTATGGCAATATTTTGTGTATAAAATATAACAATTACATTAAAAAAGTGCTTATTTCTGACAAAAACTTGTATTTTCTTAAGGGTTAGGATGGTGTTTTATTACCCCCTCTGGCTCTCAAGATAAACCTTACATCCAGGCACCAAAATGAACTTGTAGCCCATTAGTGAACTTATCTTGTGATACCAAGATATATGTATTTGGATAAAAATTGACAAAGTTATAACAATTTAAGTGAAAAAAAAAAACTATTTTGACCAGTTTCTTCAACAATTCCATATATCTAAAATTTGCTACTAAAATTGTTATAAATTTTTTTAGAATTGCTCGTTTTAAATAATTTTTTCACCTATAAAATACTGTATTGAAGGCCTTTCTAACGATATATAACATTCTACTATATGATCAATATAAAAATTTCAGTGCGCGTACATACCTATGTTAGCTTTTGCCTAAATCCGCCATTGAATTCATATACTTAAAGCTTGTTGACAAAACTTCGATGTACAATCAACAAAATACATAGTAAAACAAACATAAATACTAATATAATTTATAATAACAAAATATTAACAGTAATACCTTTAGTACAAGTGACTTTTCTGTCAATAAACAATACACAAACAACAGTATATTTTAAAGTACGTAATAGACATTCTCTAATTCCATTGCGTAACTTCAAAAAGAGGCAAGTAAAGACAAAAATGTAAACAAACTATATTCGTACAAAATAAAAATGTTTTATTTTAACTATATCATTATCAGACCAATATTGAAAAAAAATGGACGAGAAAAGTATTACTGTATATAATTGTGTGAAAATTCATTTATAATAACAATATTAAAAAAAACTAATATTGGTTTGTTTTCTTTCCCAAACCAAGTGAAAAAACACGACTTTCACAAAGTTTGGTGTAACAAAAATGTTAATAAAGACGTAAAGAAGGTGTTGATATTTTTGAAATAATGAAACTTACAAAAGTGCGTGAATTTTACTTTAGGCCTTAGGAGATAAAAATTGCAGTAAAAAAATATTAAAAAAAAAAGAAATGAAGTTTTAAGCTTGTGCTAATTTCAGACAACACAAGAAAAGTTATCTTGAAAATCTCCATGCAAAAGGCCAAAATATCCAGAGTTTACGACTAAGTTAAGCGATAAAAAACTTTATACATTTCTGGATTTCATAAATAGTAAAAATTGTGAAAACTGCAAGTTGTCGTTCTATTTCGAAATAGATTAAT